ACAGATCCCACAAACCTTAACTTGTGCCTTCCCTACAATAAATTGTCAAACAAATTAAGTCTTCTCAGTCAATTGTTGTTGAATAGAACTCACCTTGCTTGCTTCTTTAACTGCTACTGCTTCTCTTGGTCCGAACTGTTATGAGTTCATCACTATATTATTCAGTAAGTCACACGCCTCTCTAGGAGTTTTGTTCATCAAAGCCCCTTCACTTGTTGCGTCTATGATTCTCTTATCGATGGAAGTCAAGCCTTCATAGAAATATTGAATCAGTAATTGCATGGGGATTTGGTGATGGGGGCATCTAATAAGTAAAACATTAAATGGTTCCAATATTCAAATAAAGAATCTCATGTATGTTGTGTGATTCCGCATATCTCTTTCCTCATGATCACAGCTTGTGAGGCGGGAAAGTACTTCTCGAGAAACTTCCTCTTCATGTCAGTCCATGTAGTGATGCTTCTGGCAGGTAGTTGAATAGTCAATCTTTTGCAGCGTCTTTCAGTGAGAAGGGAAAAGCACGAAGCTTGATTTGATCTTCTGTTACTCCTTGTGGCTTCACACTTGTGCAGATGACATCAAATTCTTGAAGATGCTTATGTAGATCTTCTTCGGAAAACCCATGGAAAGAAGGCAACAAGTGTATTAGTCCTGCTTTTAATTAAAAAACACTGTTACTGTCTACCTTTGGGTATGTGATGCAGAGATGTTGCTGGGACAAGTTAGGAGTTGTCAGCACCCTTAGTGTCCTTTGATCCATCTCTTCTTCTAGCTCATCTTGTTAGAACTAAAATCACTAGATGATTCTGAAACTAAATATTTTTGGCGACGCTCCCTAGTTTCTTTTCTCAATCGATGCACAATTTTCTCAATTTCGGGATTGAAACTCAAGATTCCTGTGTGATCAAATCTCGACATAAACTATAAAAATTCAGATTTTTTAGATAATAGATAACAACCAAAGATAAATAAACCTATTAAAATTCCCCAGCAACGGCGCCAAAATTTGACAGACGGTCGTCACACGCTGCAAAATTTAAATAAAATAAACCTACTTCTACAATAAAAATAACGTAGTATAGATGAAGTAGGATCGTCTCCTCAGGGAATTAAAAAGGTTTTATTTTTGATTGTTTAATATATAGATATAATAAAATGGGGGGTTTTGGAAGTAGGAAATAAAAATAAAATAGCAAACTAAAAAATCTACGACTAAAAGATAAATTCAATAAAAATAAGTTTCCAATCTATGAATGAAATTCACAACTTGGGTAGTGGATTTGATCATCGATAAATATTTAATTTTAATTGTTTCTAAATAAATTAGTTATAGTTACCGACATGCACCTAATAACCAACTCTTCCTTAATTTTCGACAGTCTAGGTACGCCTGTCAGCTACTTTCCTAATTAGACTAGAATCCTAGTGACGCCATAAAAAATTTACTAGCCTAACCACCTTGCAAACTAGAAGAACCTAATTCAATTTAACAATTACCTATGTGGAATTGTTTAAAATTGATTCTGTAATTTTCTAATGGTGTCTGCTACTAGTTGCTACTTGAACTAAATTAAAATGCAATTACAGACACCTGATTTAGTTTAGCAATTGATCTTTAATCTAATTGAAATATCTGGCCACAATACCCAACCAAATCAAAGATTATTAAACATTAAAATCAGAAATTACAAAAATACTTAGGAACCAAGAAAGATCATAAAATTAAAATAAAATCTAATCTCACAAATCCATTCCAAGTTGTTTCTTTCACTCCTAAAGTAGAAAAGTAAACAACTCGCTAATCATAGAAGGAAGAACAAAGAAACCAAAGATAAACATCGCCAGAGAATGATGTTGGTATAGGTAGAAATTGAAATCTTCTTGGAAGAATCTTTCTCATTCTTGCCCTTGCGCGATTTCTCCCTGGAACTGTTCTGCATGGTGTTTCCTCCTTGCTGTGAATGTAGCAAGTGGCGCCTCTCTCATTCTTTATTTTCTTTATATTTGCCCTAATTTTGTAACAATTGGGCTTTGGGCCTTTTAATTAATTCTTCAAGTCATTGGGTCTTTTTGTTCTCTTTTCCCTTCAATTCTACCAATATTATTATTTTTCTCCTGAAAATCATAAATAATTAATATATACACAAATCAGGTATAATCTAATCAAAATCAACCAAATACCACAAATAATATAAATATTTAACGTATGCGATTTTTTGTTATCAATTTCCTCGGCTGCTTGTAGTACGACGTCCTCACTTCATCCATCATCCATCATCCTAAGAGTTAGCTTGCAAAAGTGAGAATCCCATTGGGCTAGATACTTCTGCAACCAATCAATTCCCAAGATCAAGTCAAACTCATTCAACTCTAGCACCAAAAAATCAATAGCAAACACTAATTAATTAACTACCACAGACACATAACATATTATAGTATCACAGAGAAGGTCCTGACCCGAAGGCAAAACTATACTCATAAAAGTAGACTCAAACTCAGATAAGCCACATAATCAAGCAAAACTTGCAACAATTAAGGAACAAAAGGTACCCGAATTAAACAATGAAAATTTAGAGTTATAGGATACGAGGAGTGTACCCATCATCAAATTGCCTTGAACATGTAGAGATCGTCCACGTGAAGTCATTTCTCACTTTACTACACGAAGGATAAGTTAAACTATAAGCAACCTATTAAGATCAATCGCAACAAGAGATTAGCCTAATGCATCAAGTCAAGCTCACACGCAATACATAAAATTACAAAAGGTCAATCGACTCAAATGTCATATCCAATTGATCAAGTAATTCTGCAAACACAATTGATAGGCAATCAAATCACAACAAGAGTTTAGCCTAATGCATCAAGTCAAGCTCACATGCAATACATAGAAGCACAAAAGGTCAATAGGCTCAAATGTCATATCCAATTAATCAAGTAATTCTGCAAACACAATTGATAGGAAATCAAATCACATCACGCAATGTAGAGATGTATGCAATGCAAGCCCCAAGTCCCCAAAATCGATTTCATAATGCATGCACTGCAAAACTTTTCCAAAAATGGGTATGTTGTTTTATTTCAAAAACCATGCTCTGATAACACTATATGTAATAACCCAAAACATGGACATGTCACACGCCAACATTATAACAATAATGTATATCAACACGCCATGCTATAATGCTAAGGCTTCACAAAACTTCACTTAGAGATATTAATAAACAGACGGGTTCAATACACTGTTGTTTTCAATTTGACTTGGATGGATCGATATGAAATTCTCAAAATATAATACTAAGGCTACGAAAAGGCTATTAGCTAAAGAAATTCGTCGATTAAATATCTAAATAGTCAATTATGAATTTTCGAAGGAATTTCTAATCTAATACAACAATATCCATATATTTTAACAATTATAATTAAACCCTACTCACAACAAAGGAATAAGGTACCGAAATGAGAATTAAACTCGAATACTCAAATCTTTTTCTTTCTTACCTTTATTTTTGTTCTATCTTTTCTTCTTCTTTTTCCGGGCATTTGCTTCTGCTTGGGTTGGGTTGCTTTCTTTGACTTTTGCTTTTAATATATATAATTTTTACGCATAAAATTTAGAATTAGGTTAAAAAGCCCAAGGGAAAAAGAAAAATGGGCCTAACAATCGAGATGATCGAGCTGGTCGAGGGGCATTGCGGGAAACTCAGGTAAAATAGATGCATTTCTAAGGACATAGTAGGTCAGGAGGTCCGCAGGTTGGAAGGTCCGCAAGTCGGAAGGTTTGTGGGTCGGAAAGTCCGCAAGTCGGAAGGTCCGTGGGTCGGAAGGTCCTCAAGTCGGGAGGTCTGCAGGTCGGAAGGTCCGTAGTTCGGAAAGTCTGCGGGTCGGAAAGTCCGCAGGTCGAAGGGTCCGCGGATAGGAAAATACGCAAGTCGGAAGGTCCGTGGGTCGGAAGGTCCTCAGGTCGGCAGGTTTGCAGGTCGGAAGGTCCGTAGTTCGGAAAGTCCGCGGGTCGGAAAGTCCGCAGGTTGGAGGGTCCGCGGGTCGGTAAGTCCGCAAGTTGGAAGGTCCGTGGGTCGGAAGGTCCTCAGGTCGGGAGGTCTGCAAGTCGGGAGGTTTGCGGCTGGACCAAACAAGTCATATGGTCTATAAGTTGGGAGGTTTGCGGCTGGACCAAAAAAGTCGGATGGTCTGTAAGTCGGGAGGTTTGCGGTTGGACCAAACAAGTCAGATGGTCTGTAAGTCGGGAGGTTTTCGGCTGAACCAAACAATTCAGACCAATAAGGCTGAAGATTTGCGGTCGGACCAGAAGGGCGGAAGGTCTGCGGTCGGTCCAAAGAGTTGGATATTGTTGAGAGTAAATAAGATTGATAATTTCGGTCGGCTGAGGGCACGTGTCAGCAGGAGAGGGGTTAGCAGACGGTTGAAAAGAAGCGTTATAACCGTTCGGGCGACGGTTTCCAGTACTGTTTCTGAAGAGTATTTAAGGCTTAAAATTTGCAACTGGCAATTGATCTTCAATCATCTACAAACGACATCAATGTCAAGATTTCTGATCCTACATCAACAGAGAATTTCATACGACTGAGGTCTGGCCGAATCATCAGAAAACTAAGTATGGTAGGCTCGCAACCTCAATCATCATCAGCACCGGCGGGAGAAAATGTTTCACCACCCGTCATGCCAAATTCAGAGGAGATTCCTCAACCACCTACCGATTGGTTGTCTTATGTTCAAAAATTGAACAATCAGCATACTTCGGCGATGCAGAACATGTTGCGCAAGCAACAGAACATCATGTTGTGCGAGCAACAAAATCTTATGCAGAACATGTTAGATCAAGCATTATCAAGGGTTACTCTTCAACCCACCCAGACGCTGCCAAGGGTGTCACCATTAGGAATGCAAGAAAATTTTGCAGGGTCATCATATGTGGACAACACACTTCCATGCGCCACAACGTTCAACAGAACAGATAGGAGGAAGACTCCTCTTGTAACACCCCCAGTTGGCTCATACTGGAAATGCTACCGCCACACTGCATCATGAGGTCGTCACCTCCTACTTCGGGCCCCACAACACAGTGTTAAGGCTAAAATTAATTATATAAGCATTTTATTATTCCCAAAAAAAAACAAGTTTATAAATATTTACAAAAACATACTCCCAAAACGGGAGGTTTTTCTAGTTAGAATTTACATATAATACATCAGATGCAGTTCACTCATTCAGCCCGTCTTTCTATCTCCCGAGACGTCCCCTGTCCCGGAGGTGCCATGCGTACCTGAATCAAATATTTTTCTTAAAAGCAGTCTAGAATTAAATCCATTTTAAGAACTAACATAAAATATGCCATGTCATGCTCGAAAATATAGTTTAATTTCCGTCATTTGCAAAATAAATGCCATGCCATGCCCATACTGAAATAATGTAACAATAATGTCAAAATCGACAACTCATGCACATATACCCATATACATATGTCAAAGTGAGCAGCCGGAATAACCTCGGCTCCATAATAACAGCTCACTAGACTATCATCAATAAATAGCCGGAAAATCCTCGGCTCAAGGAAGGACCTGGTAAACCCATAATAATATAACGGTCACCCGGTCACTTCCATATACCCACCATACGACTCCCGCAATCAATACATGGATAGCCGAGCGTTGTCGCCATTAACCACAAGACACCCCATAGTCTGTGATAGCGAAGATAGGACCCTCCTGTCTAGCCCTACCCCGTGTAGCGTAGTAGAATCCGTGCAACCTGGAATCACCCGAAGGAAACCCGGAAACTCTACTCCTCCTCGCACGCCCTAACGGGATCGCGTTTGGAGTTTGGCATATGATCCTAAACTACCGGTAGACCTCACTAGTAGCTACTCCAATGAGTGGAACAACACCGAACACGAATGATTAGACCAAATACGTCTCAACTGCAATGGGTCTAATCCCTGAATGACCGTGCGACTAAGTCACCCAGTTGTCCGACTACTATCGTCCACTATCGCCAAAGTGTTACGGTACATCGGGGTCGAATATCCTAACCCCAGATGATGCCCTCGCCTAGCACTACCGCACACGGCGACTAAACGATAGATCCATAAAACATATCCGATAAATCGTGCGATGTGTGCAGCATGTCAATAAGTGAATTTAATGAAAAGGGCTGGTGAGACGGCCCACCTATCCTCCTTTTCATAAATTCACCAACACGATCAAATACGTATATCAATTATCGTAAAACGAAGTTTCACACATGTATATACACACACATATATACATATATAGATGCACTGACCAAATGATTCCACATAATATCATATCAATATCAGAATCAGAATCACATGCAACATAAATACCTAATTTCTTAAAATTAGATTTAATTCCCTACTGCTTACCTCCTACCGATACTTTCTGGATTTTCTAACTTCACCCAAATCTCCTCCAACGTACACCTGTCCCATTATTTACTCAAATCAGATGAGCTTTATGCTTATTCTCAGGAGCTACCTGCTTATTCAAAAGCTAATTTCTATAATTAACTCGTCGGGCTCCAAACTTTTATATTTAGTAGAATATGATATTCTAGCTATAAAATCCTTCTACCTCATAATATTTATATTGCCCGATTATTAAATAAAAATACGCAAAGGTATGAACAAGCAGGCAGGTGCAATATACTGCCGTTTTTTATTCGACTTGGATTGGTACGAAATTCTCAAAATATAATGTCGGCGCTACGAATAGGCTATTAGCTAAAGAAATTCATCGATTAAATAGCTAAATAGCCAATTTTGAATTTTTGAAGAATTTCTAATTTAATACTCCAATATCAAAATTCGTATTAAAATTTATAATCGGACTCTACGAATAGCAAGGAATACCATACCCAAGTCGGAATTGGAATCGGACGGCTAAATCTTTTTCTTTCTTTTTTTCTTTTTCTCCTTTTTTCTCCTTCACGTTTCTTCCTCTGCCTTCCTTCGCTTCGCAAGTAAGTTTGCTTGTTTTATATATATAATTATATTATTATTATATATATATATTATATACATTATATTATATTATATTATATTATATTATATTATTATTATTAGCGTTATTATTATTATTATTATTATAAATATTATCTTCATCATCATTACTTTTATTATTATATTATTATTATATATTTTATATTTATATTTATCGATATTTATCCATTTAACAGTCTATTTAATTATAACTAATATACAAAATTGGAATATAATTTATCCCAAAATATTAATTTCTTGATTCCATTACTATTGTCAAATATTTATTTGCTATAATAATATTATTTTATACATTCCGAAATCGGGGCATTACAATCCACTTCCCCTTAAAAAGATTTCGTCCCCGAAATCTAAACTCAAACACATAACAAGGCAACTTAATTAAACAATTGTGGGTATGCCTTGAACATTTCTTGTTCTACTTCCCACGTGGCCTCTTCCGCTCCATGTCTGGACCACATTACTTTCACCATACGAATATCTCGATTCCTCATGGTTCGGACCTTTGTGTCCATGATCCACAGAGGCTTTTCTTCATACGAAATATCTTCATTCAGCTCTATCTCATCTGGAGATAAAATATGAGAAGGATCTGCAACATACATACGAAGCTGAGATATATGAAACACATTATGGATACGCTCCATAGAATTTGGAAGTGCCAACCGATAGGCCCAATCACCAACTCGATCGACAATTTCATAAGGTCCAACATAACGCGGACTCAATTTTCCTTTAATCCCAAACCTTCTAATACCTTTCATTGGGGATACTTTCAATAAGACAAAATCTCCACTTTGAAATTGACCCTCACGTCGGGCTCTATCGGCATAACTCTTTTGACGATCTTGAGCTGCCTTCATCTTTTCTCTGATAATTCGAATCTTATTTTTCGATTCCTCAATCATTTCCGGACCCAGTATCAGTCGATCACTCATATCGTCCCAACTCAAAGGAGTTCTGCATTTTCGACCATAAAGAGCTTCAAAAGGAGCCATTCCGATACTTGCTTGATGGCTATTATTATATGAAAATTCCACTAAATCCAAGTGGTCTTCCCAACTCCCTTGAAATTCCATAGCACAAGCTCTTAGCATATCTTCCAGAATACGGATAGTTCTTTCTGACTGACCATCAGTCATAGGATGGAATGCAGTACTCATATGCAACTGAGTACCAAAGGCTTCCTGCAATTTTTGCCAAAATCGAGATTGAAAACGTGGATCACGATCTGATATGATCACCTCAGGAATACCGTGTCGTTTAACCACATAATGAACATATAATTTGGCCAATTTCTGCATACTCCAAGTCATACGTACTGGAATGAACACTGCTGACTTGGTCAATCTGTCTATAATTACCCAAATTGCATCTGTTCCCGACTTTGACCTTGGAAGTCCTGTTACAAAATCCATTGCGATAGAATCCCATTTCCAGAGTGGAACTTCTAAAGGTTGTAGCAACCCCATTGGTCTATGATGTTCTGCTTTTACCTTTTGACAATTTAAACATCGTGCAACAAATTTGGCTACATCCTTCTTCATGCCCTTCCACCAAAAATGTTGACGTAGGTCATGATACATTTTATTTCCCCCCGGATGCACTGAGTATGGTGTATTATGAGCCTCACTCATAATCTGCTCTTTCAAATCATTTCGATCCTTTGGGATACACCACCTCCCGTGAAATCGAAGACTCCCATCTGGAGCAATATTAAAATTTTGAGTCTGACCGTACTGAACTTTCACTGCAAGCTCAACCATTTTATTATCTTCCATTTGAGCCGCTCTAATGCGATCATAAATTTCAGGCTCAACTTGTATCATTTGCAAATATCCCCGAGTCATACCCCGTCCAAGTACCTCAATTTCCATCCGCGCTAAATCTTGGCACAGTTCATCGGCAACTGACATAGAACCCCACTTATGCCTTGGTTTGCGACTCAAGGCATCAGCGACAACATTTGCTTTGCCTTCATGATATACAATTTCTAGATCATAATCCTTCATCAATTCTAACCATCTTCTTTGTCTTAAATTCAATTCTTTTTGGGTGAAGATATATTTCAAACTTTGATGGTCAGTAAATATTCTGCAATGGGCTCCATAAAGATAGTGTCTCCAAATCTTCAAAGCAAACACAACTGCTGCCATTTCCAAGTCGTGTGTCGGATAATTCTCTTCGTGAGGTTTTAGTTGTCGTGATGCATAGGCAATAACTCTTTGATTCTGCATTAAGACACATCCCAATCCCTGCTTCGAAGCATCACTATACACTTCAAAATCCTCACCTTCCACTGGTAAAGCCAAAATTGGCGCTGAAGTTAATCGATGTTTCAATTCTAAAAAGGATGACTCACACTCGTGATCCCAGTTAATCTTTGCATCCTTTTTCAGCAAATTAGTTAATGGTTTTGCAACCTTCGAAAAATCAAGAACGAATCGCCGATAATATCCTGCCAAACCCAAAAAGCTTCTTACTTCTGATTGATTGGTAGGTCTTGGCCAATCTGAGATTGCCGCAACCTTAGAAGGATCTACTGAGATACCCTTAGCAGAAATCACATGCCCCAAGAAAGCAACCTTTTTCAACCAAAACTCACATTTGGATAACTTGGCATATAACTTCCTCGCACGCAGTGTGTTTAGTGTCACACGCAAATGTTTTACATGTGTCTTTTTATCTGGAGAATATGCCAAGATATCATCGATAAATATCACCACAAACTGATTGAGGTATGGTTGAAAAATTTGATTCATCAACTCCATAAACGCAGCCGGGGCGTTAGTCAACCCAAAGGACATAACCGTGAATTCATAATGCCCGTATCTAGTCCGAAAAGCTGTCTTCGGAATGTCATGCTCTGCAATCCTTAGCTGATGATATCCAGATCTCAAGTCAATCTTTGAGAATATAGTTGCACCTCTCAGTTGATCAAATAGATCATCAATCCTCGGAAGAGGATATTTGTTCTTCACCGTGACTTTGTTCAGTCCACGGTAGTCAATACATAACCTCAAACTTCCATCCTTCTTTTTCACAAATAAAACTGGAGCTCCCCAAGGCGATGTACTAGGCCGAATGTAACCCTTATCTAGCAATTCCTGTAGTTGCAATTTAAGTTCAGCTAGTTCTAAAGGTGCCATCCGGTATGGAGCCCTTGATACTGGCTCAGCACCCGGCACAATATCAATAGTAAAATCCACCTCACGAGCTGGTGGCATACCCGGAATGTCATCAGGAAATACATCAGGAAAATTTCGGACTACAGGAATATCTTGCAATCGCTGCTCCCCTTGGGTCAAATCTCTTACCTCACACAGATATACTGGAAACCCCTTACGAATAAATGATTGAAATGATAGGGATGAAATTACCTTCATAAAAGGTTGTCTGGCAGATCCTGCATAATTCACCAGTTCGCCCATCGCTCCAACCAGCGAAATTGATCTTTTTCGACAATCAAATTGAGCTTGATATGCCACTAACCAATCCATCCCCAATATTACATCGAACTCGGATAGCTTGATGCCCAACAAGTTAGTAACAAAATCAACCCCTTCAATACTAACCGGAATCTGCATATAAAGCTCTCGGCATTCCAGCACTTCTCCTGATGGAAGTAAAACTTCCACTACCACTTCTACTGATGAATTCAGACCCAATCGTCTAACTAGACGCTTAGATATGAACGAGAACGTTGCACCCGAATCGAATAACACAAGAGCAGGAAAACCGCAAACCAGAAATCTACCCGTTAAAACCTCACCTGGATGATAATCAGCTTCTGCTTGGGTAAGAACATTTATTCGTCCACGCTGGTCAGGTCCTCTGCCTGACTGCCTAGATGACGGACGTGACTGACTTCGACCACCTCGCCATGATGGTCCTAATCCTCTCCCTTGTGACTCTGAAGATGGCTGATGCCATGGCCTAACTCTCGGTTCTGGAAACTTCCTTGCAGTTACCACACTTGGACATAACCTGGCAATGTGACCACTACCACCACATTTAAAACATGTCAATGGAACTTTATCACAACGAGTACCTGGGTGGCTTGTTCCACAACGCCGACAAACAGCCCCCGATTGCTGAGACCTCTCCTGACTCGGTTCATTAATCGAAATCCCCTTATACGATGGCCCAGACCTAAACATTTGCCACCATTTCTTTTTACCCTTGGGTTCATCCTCCACTTTAGCTTTTCCCTTATCTCGAACCTGATGTTGATAACCTATTTCCTTCTCACTCTCCTTTTGTCTGACTTCCTGCTTCTGATAAAATCGGGCAGCACGCTCGTAAGCCTCATACAATGAACTGATATCCAACACCGCTAAAGCTTCTTGAATTCTGTGTTGCAACCCGTCTACAAAATGGTCAATTCTGTCTCGCTCACAGGAAAAGTAGTCAGGAACATACATCTCCAACTCATTAAACTTCACAAAATAATCCTCAACTGATATCGAGCCCTGCTTTAAGTCCAGCAATTCTTGCTTCTTCGCTTTTCGAATATGCGACGGTATAAACCTAGCCTTTAACTTTGCTTTAAATTCATCCCAAGTCATATCCACTTGGTCTACACCTGCAGCTTCTTCACCTAACCACCACCGATTTGCTCGGCCTTCCAAGAAATAGGCTCAAATATTAACTCGTTGATCTGGCGGAACCTGAACAACACGAAATATCTTTTCCATCTTTTCAACCCAAAACTCAAGGACTCCTGGCTCCACTGAACCAGAATATGTTGGTGGGTTATGCCGCATCACAGCATCAATGAAACTCCTCTGTTGAGGCATCATCGCGGCCATAAACTGCCGAAAGAAATCCTGACTAGGTGCCTCTGTTGGTACATGCGCTGGCACAGGATACTGTGACTCATCAGACGAAGGATCAAACTCTGGGCCTTGAATAGCCCTACGTACACCACCACCTCGAGAATTCGACATACTGCCCCCAATTTTTCCTGATTCAATATCAATTCAGCACACAGCTAAACCAAGCATAACAATAAAAGATAGATCACATTAACATGAATGCACCCGCAAAACCCAAACCTCACCAAACCAATTCAATATCATTATTATTTTCAAAACCTTTTTAATTCAAAGAGCCAAAATCTATCAAACCTAGGCTCTGATACCAACTTGTAACACCCCCAGTTGGCTCATACTGGAAATGCTACCGCCACACTGCATCATGAGGTCGTCACCTCCTACTTCGGGCCCCACAACACAGTGTTAAGGCTAAAATTAATTATATAAGCATTTTATTATTCCCAAAAAAAAACAAGTTTATAAATATTTACAAAAACATACTCCCAAAACGGGAGGTTTTTCTAGTTAGAATTTACATATAATACATCAGATGCAGTTCACTCATTCAGCCCGTCTTTCTATCTCCCGAGACGTCCCCTGTCCCGGAGGTGCCATGCGTACCTGAATCAAATATTTTTCTTAAAAGCAGTCTAGAATTAAATCCATTTTAAGAACTAACATAAAATATGCCATGTCATGCTCGAAAATATAGTTTAATTTCCGTCATTTGCAAAATAAATGCCATGCCATGCCCATACTGAAATAATGTAACAATAATGTCAAAATCGACAACTCATGCACATATACCCATATACATATGTCAAAGTGAGCAGCCGGAATAACCTCGGCTCCATAATAACAGCTCACTAGACTATCATCAATAAATAGCCGGAAAATCCTCGGCTCAAGGAAGGACCTGGTAAACCCATAATAATATAACGGTCACCCGGTCACTTCCATATACCCACCATACGACTCCCGCAATCAATACATGGATAGCCGAGCGTTGTCGCCATTAACCACAAGACACCCCATAGTCTGTGATAGCGAAGATAGGACCCTCCTGTCTAGCCCTACCCCGTGTAGCGTAGTAGAATCCGTGCAACTTGGAATCACCCGAAGGAAACTCGGAAACTCTACTCCTCCTCGCACGCCCTAACGGGATCGCGTTTGGAGTTTGGCATATGATCCTAAACTACCGGTAGACCTCACTAGTAGCTACTCCAATGAGTGGAACAACACCGAACACGAATGATTAGACCAAATACGTCTCAACTGCAATGGGTCTAATCCCTGAATGACCGTGCGACTAAGTCACCCAGTTGTCCGACTACTATCGTCCACTATCGCCAAAGTGTTACGGTACATCGGGGTCGAATATCCTAACCCCAGATGATGCCCTCGCCTAGCACTACCGCACACGGCGACTAAACGATAGATCCATAAAACATATCCGATAAATCGTGCGATGTGTGCAGCATGTCAATAAGTGAATTTAATGAAAAGGGCTGGTGAGACGGCCCACCTATCCTCCTTTTCATAAATTCACCAACACGATCAAATACGTATATCAATTATCGTAAAACGAAGTTTCACACATGTATATACACACACATATATACATATATAGATGCACTGACCAAATGATTCCACATAATATCATATCAATATCAGAATCAGAATCACATGCAACATAAATACCTAATTTCTTAAAATTAGATTTAATTCCCTACTGCTTACCTCCTACCGATACTTTCTGGATTTTCTAACTTCACCCAAATCTCCTCCAACGTACACCTGTCCCATTATTTACTCAAATCAGATGAGCTTTATGCTTATTCTCAGGAGCTACCTGCTTATTCAAAAGCTAATTTCTATAATTAACTCGTCGGGCTCCAAACTTTTATATTTAGTAGAATATGATATTCTAGCTATAAAATCCTTCTACCTCATAATATTTATATTGCCCGATTATTAAATAAAAATACGCAAAGGTATGAACAAGCAGGCAGGTGCAATATACTGCCGTTTTTTTATTCGACTTGGATTGGTACGAAATTCTCAAAATATAATGTCGGCGCTACGAATAGGCTATTAGCTAAAGAAATTCATCGATTAAATAGCTAAATAGCCAATTTTGAATTTTTGAAGAATTTCTAATTTAATACTCCAATATCAAAATTCGTATTAAAATTTATAATCGGACTCTACGAATAGCAAGGAATACCATACCCAAGTCGGAATTGGAATCGGACGGCTAAATCTTTTTCTTTCTTTTTTTCTTTTTCTCCTTTTTTCTCCTTCACGTTTCTTCCTCTGCCTTCCTTCGCTTCGCAAGTAAGTTTGCTTGTTTTATATATATAATTATATTATTATTATATATATATATATTATATACATTATATTATATTATATTATTATTATTAGCGTTATTATTATTATTATTATTATAAATATTATCTTCATCATCATTACTTTTATTATTATATTATTATTATATATTTTATATTTATATTTATCGATATTTATCCATTTAACAGTCTATTTAATTATAACTAATATACAAAATTGGAATATAATTTATCCCAAAATATTAATTTCTTGATTCCATTACTATTGTCAAATATTTATTTGCTATAATAATATTATTTTATACATTCCGAAATCGGGGCATTACACCTCTGACCTTCCCAAATAATATTCCTTTGGGACCAAGGGTTGAGAATGTGCAGCCGAAAATTACAAGGGAGGAAAGGCCAGGGGGACATGTGCAAGATCCTATTCTTATTCCTGTGCAAAATCCCATATATATTCCTGATCATCAACATTTTCGTTTGGGTGATGAAATTGCTCACGTATTGAGCGTTCAGTTTGGCCTAAATCCTCAGATGGCCAACCGACATGCTTGTCAAAGACCTTTTCCATAAAGGATTATTAATGAATATCCTCTCCCAAGGAATTACAGGCCACCAGATTTTCATGCTTTTTCTGGAGAGGATGGATCCTCTACTATAGAGCATGTGGGGCGTTTCACAGCATAGTTAGGGGAAATTGGTAACAATCCTTTTTATAGGTTACAACTGTTTGGATTGTCTCTGACTAGGACAGCTTTTTCATGGTTTGTAAGTCTGCCACCTGGGCAAATACAAACTTGGGAAGGTTTGGAGATGGCATTCCATGCCCGATTTTTCAATCCCTTGCCAACGGTCTATTTGATTGATTTATTGGAAATGAAACAATATCCAGATGAGTCAGCTTCACAGTTTATTGAAAGGGTGCGATTGATGAAAGGACGATGTCCTACAATAATCAATAAAAAAGAGATGACCAACTTAGTGGTCCGAAATATGCATGGTCGCCCAAGAGATGGGCTCACTGCACATGATGTCGAGGATTTGGCAAGTCTTGCATAACTCTTTTCAGGGAAAGTGATCAGAATTTCAGGCGTAATAAAGGTCAACATATGGCTAGTATGGAAACAGAGGCATACGACTTTGATTATGATCTAACAGAAGAGATAGCGGCCGAAATAATTTCAGGGAAGCCTTATGTATGCTCTAAGTTAAAGCCAACACCAGGAACAGAAGCTAAAGGGCAACCGACCTTTGACAATTAAAAGGCCGATGAGATATTTGATATTCTGCTAACTGATGGTCAGATCCGAATTCCAAAGGGGCAGAGGTTGGCTACTAAGGAAGAAATCAAAGGGAGGTCATATTGTAAGTGGCATAACTCCTTCACACACAATACAAGTCAATGCACTCATTTTCGAAATGAGATTCAAAAGGCTATTAAGGCAGGTCGGCTCAAGTATATTACTTTGGGAGTGGAGCAGCAACCATTTCCAAAAGTAACCACATCAATGGTTAATATACAAGCAACTTCCATAAAAGAAAAAGGAAATTCATCAAACAGTGACCGACCAGAGGAGAAACTCAAGGTCTGTGAAAAAACAGTGGCTGAAAAATGGGATAACCAAGATGGTTCTTTTAACGTGGAATTGAATGAGCAAGTTTTGGTTCGGGACCGCCCGACCAGGAGAACGGGTTCGGTCGGGAAAAATGGACTCAAAATAAGAAACCTTTACCACTTGATGTGGATCCTCGCTTCCCAGGCATGAATCGCACTCAGATTCGGAATGCCAAACGCAGCTACACTGCTAGATACAGAGACAAGGTTGCCCCATCAAAGCAACCAAACGACAGCCGAGGCACTGCTAAGTATAATGAGGGAGGTCGGTCCATCAGGGTCGTTTCGTTTTGACCAGCCGAATGAGGCAGAGGAAGGTCGGCTCATTGGGGTCGCCTCATCAAAGCAGCCGACCAGCATACGGGACACTGCTAATTACAAGGAGGGAGGTCGGTCCATGCAAAAAAAGGGTAAAGGCATGTCTGATGAAAGAGTTGAGGGTTTCAGATGTCAGTATTCCGAGAAGATTAACATTAACCCATCTTTGGAGGAATTTCGTTGGAATCTCTGACTGTTCAACCCGAAATTAAAGTCGGAGACGAAATTCCAGAGAAGAGTTCAAGATCTGTCAAATCTCGACTAGGGTCACGTATCCCCTGCCGAATGACATAAATTAATTGGGTTGAGGAAGAGCATTTATGGGCAAGTCTAGTGGATGAGTCTATAGAAGAGCTAGAATGAGCAAAGATTGCGGATCCTGATTTTGAATCAGAAGTCCCTCCAATACTATTCCCTCCCATTCCAGAAGGCATGGCGTCTCATTTGAAGCCTCTATACGTTAATACTCATATTTGTGGGAAGCCAATAACAAAGGTTTTCATAGATAATGGGGTCGTCTTCAATGTAATGCCATTAAAGACTTTCAAAAAGTTAGGAAAGGGAATTTACGATCTATCTCTTGTGGATTTTGAGATGACTAGCTTTACAGGGCAGCCGACCAAACCAGAAGGCATGTTGGTCGCATCAATTGAAGTCGGTCCAAAGAAGATTTCTTCTGTCTTCTTCATGGTGGATGCAGATACCACATATTCAATCCTGCTTGGACGAGATTGGATTCATGCATCTAAATGTGTACCATCAACACTGCATCAACAATTGATGTTCTGGGAAGGCAACCAGGTCTTCAAAATGGAGGCAAATAACAATCCTTTTAGAGCATCAGAACAAGTTGAAGAATCAGTTTTTTATTCTGGTCATGTACCTCCAATGTATCAATTTTTTATGGCTAATGACTACCCAAAGAAGGGTTTTAAATTCATTGGCCAGAATTCAATGTTCCTTTAAAAGAACAGTTGTACTATATGGCTCTTGAGTAAGCCAGACCTACTTTGTATAATACATTTCTTATGGAGGGTGCAGATTTACAATATTGTAGTTTACTTATTAATCAGTATTATCTAGACCAGCTTTTGAAAAAAGTGGAAAAAATAAAAAAGATACATGATGTTCATTTCCAAGAAGATGAACAATTTCGTTGGCCTGATCTATTAAAGAAAACTGAGCCAACTTTCTCAGCACAAGATCTTTTACTGGATTTCAACTTAGAAACCGACCTGGTTCCAAAAATAATCAGAGTGAGTGGTTATTTATCTTAAGAGCAACAAACATTGATGCTCGAGGTTATAAGAAACAATATTGATTGTTTAGCTTGGGACTATTCAGAAATGCCTGGTTTAGAGCGAAGTCTGATAGAACATTGACTGCCCATTAAGAAGGATTTCAAGCCTTGTAAGCAATCTCCAAGACGTATGAGCCCTGACTTGATGCCTCAGATCAAAGAAGAGATTCAGAAGCTTCTCAAAGTGGGTTTCATCCGACCTTGCCGTTATGCAGATTGGTTGGCCAATATTGTACCAGTGGTTAAGAAAAATGGTAAGATCAGGATATGCATCGATTTTAGAGATCTTAATATGGTCACCCCTAAAGATGAGTATGTGATGCCTATGGCCGACATGCTAATTGACACAGTAGCAGGGCACAGAATTCTGAGTTTGATGGATGGTTATGCAGGATATAACCAAATCTTTTTGGCAGAGGAAGACATTCACAAAACAACATTTAGATGTCCAGGAGCATTAGGTATTTATGAGTTGACAGTTATGCCTTTTGGCTTGAAGAATGCTGGGGCAACTTATCAGAGGGCCATGAACTCAATTTTTCATGATCTCATTGGTAAGTCTATGGAAGTATATATTGATGATGTTATCGTCAAATCTTCTAGTTTTGAAGAACATTTAAGGGATCTTAAAGATGCTTTCAGTCGGATGAAGAAGTACAAGTTGAATATAAACCCGACTAAGTGTGCTTTTGGTATATCAGCCGGGAGTTTCTTGAGGTTTTTGGTTCATGAAAGGGGAATAGAGATTGATGCTAATAAAGCTAAGGCAATTTTGACCAGCCGACCGACTAGGACGGTTAAAGAAATTCAAAGTCTGTTAGGTAAAGTGAATTATCTCAGGCGGTTCATTTATAATGTTGTTGGCAAGGTCAGACCAATCACTAAATTATTGAAGGCAGGAGGAAGCGCCTTTGAGTGGGGACCAGACCAACAGACCACTTTAGAGGCTATAAAGCAAGCACTGGCACAACCACCTGTGTCGATGCCTCCCAAGGAAGGTCGGCCCCTTAAACTTTATCTAGCAAATACCTATGAAGTGGTCAGTTGCTTACTAGCTCAAAATGGAGATGATGGAAAGGAAAGAGCAATTTATTATTTGAGCAAGACTCTCACAGGACCATAATTAAATTATACAATGCCAGAGAAGATGTGTTATTCATTGGTGTTTGCATGCACCAAACTTGAACATCACATGCTGCCTAAAAGAGTTGAGGTTATTTCAAAGATTGATCTCATCAAATTAATTTTGCAAACACCTACAATGCAGGGCAAACTTATGAAATGGGCAATTAAATTAGCCCATTTTGATTTGTATCATTCTCCCTTGAGGGCGGTCAAAGGCCAAGCAATAGCAGACTTTTTGGCAGACTTTAAAGGTCATGAGGAGCAACCGACTGGGTGTATATCTTATGTAAGCACCCAAAATTGGTTAATGTTCTTTGATGGTTCTACCTCAGGAAACAGATCGGGCGCATGAGTTTTGTTAGAAGGGCCAAACGGCCAAAGGGTCAATTTAGAATTGCAATTAGAAGCTATGACCCATAATTCAGCAGAATATAAAGCTTTGATCTTGGGGTTAGAAGCTTTAATAGCCAGGAAAGTTCAGTCGGTTATTATAAAAGGGGATTCTCAATTGGTGATTAACCAAGTAAACAAACAGTATGTTTGCAATTATCCCCACCTACACAGGTACAGGGATTTGGTAGGTCGGATGTTATCAAAAATCTCCGAAGTGATAATT